TTTGAAATAATTCCTAATGCTATTCGACCAAAAATATAGAAGAAGAAAAAAATTACCTTTGAATGTGCAAAATTGGGACAGGTCCTAAGAGCATGTAGCACCCTGCTGTGATTAAGTTTCCAAAAACCAGGAGCCATTTCCTTACATGCTAGTAAAGAGAAAGAGAGTCCAAAGAAACTCTTAGAGGTAAAGACCCTCCATGATTAAACAATATGAAAAATTATTATAGAACACAAGTTATGATATTTAAAAAAAAACAAATCCAATGAAGAAACAAAATTTTACATTTAAGAGAAAATAAGTAGATGATAAATTCCAAAGCAAGGACAATATTTCACAAGACAGGGAGTGAGTAAAGGGCAAAGATTCCTCAGAAAGGGAGTGTATTGCAGATTGTGCACTGGACGAACTATTCCAAATATAACAATTTACAAACAGTGAGCACAAGGAACCCACCAAGTAGTCACAATGCCTAGGAAAATGACACTATTAAAAAATGGCCCCTCTATAGATTGAATGCTTATGTCCCCCCAAAATTCTTATGTTAAATCCTAACATCCAATGTGATGGTATTTGGAGGAGGCTTTGGGGGGTGATTAGGTCATGAAGGCAGAGGCCTCATAAATGGGATTGGTGCCCTTATAAAAGAGGTCCCAAGTTGGGCATGGTGGATTTTGCTTATAATCCCAGCTACTCAGGAGGCTGAGGTGGGAGGATTGCTTGAGCCCAGGAGTTCAAGACCAGTCTGAGCAACATAGTAAGCCCCAGTCTCAAAAGAATGAATGAATGAATAAATAAGGCCCCAGACAGCTCCCTTGCCCCTTCTGCCATGTGAGGTTACAGTGAAAAGATGGCCTTCTATGAACCAGACAATGGGCCATCATCAGACACCAAATCTGCCAGAGTCTTAATCTGAGACTTCTCAGGCTCCAAAACTGTGAGGAATAAATTTCTATTGTTTATAAGCCCCCAAGTTTATGGCATTTTGTTATAGCATCCCAAACAGACTAAGACTGTAACCAACAAATTTATCCCTTATAAACTACTTGAATCAGCCCCAAAATTACAGGGGTACCACATCTGCTCAGTTATATAAGACTACGTCTTAAAACCAAGCTCCAAACACTGTTTAAGATACTTGTGTTTTGTCCCCTGGGTTACTTAGTAATTCCCATGTGATTTAGGTCTTGATAAATATATATGCAAATCTAATGATGAGGGGAAATGTCAAAAATAAGCACTAAAGCCACAGAAGTTTAAGATTTGGCTAACAGTACCAGTTCTGCATACTAGTCATCTGGACTGAATGGTTGAAACCTAGTTAAAAGAGAACAGAAGGGAATTTCTGTCAGGATGGCTATGGCATGACCAATGCATATTTGCATTGCCAATCCTTTCACTCCCACAGAAAACCCAAACTATCTCCTCCTAAAGTAGAATCTCTCAACTTATCAAGTTCCATAGTAACCTCTGGGACTCTGCCCTAATTATTAAGATTAATCCATTTTTTTGCCTCAAGAGAGAGCTGGGATTATAGGTGAAAGCCACCATGCCCAACTTGGGGCCTCTTTTATAACGGTACTAATCCCATTTATGAGGGCTCTGCTTCATGACCTAATCACCTCCCTAAGCCACCTCCACATACCATCACATTGGGTGTTAGGATTTAACATAAGAATTTTGGGGAGACATAAGCATTCAATCTATAGAGGGGCCATTTTTGAATAGTTCATTTTTCTAGGCATTGTAACTACTTGATTGGTTCCTTGTGGTCACTGTCTCTAAATTGTTGTATTGGGAATACAATTTTAAATGGTTTAGCATAAGACTCCTCTTTTCGCAGATGAAGTGATTAAAAGTGAATCTGCTCAGGGTGATGGCTGATGTTGGAAGCCACTGGAACCTCTCCATTAGTCCAATGAATGTGTCAATTCTAACCAATGGACCCCTAGAGTTCCAGAGAACAGTTGGAAAACCACTGGTCTAAACATACAAAAGCAACTAAAATAAAATTTAAGTGTACATACTGGCTTTTTATCACTTAGTAGGCCAAATAGTGGTGAAGAAATGGCATAGGACAGTGCCAAACCCAGGAATACCAGTCCCACATATCCGGCTGGTAAATTAAACTGCAAAAGAAATCCTGTATTAAAATTACATGATTAAGTCATTTTAAATAAACATCCATCTTTTCCTTCTACCATCTCTTCAGCTCTTGTTATTACCACGAACCTACTAATAACACTCAGCATTCTTCCTAATTTTTGACTTACCTTTGTAAATGGGTTCCTTTTTCTCTATGAGAGGGGAAAAAAACCTAACCTGAGGTCAGAAGATCTAGATTTTGCTTTTAGCCCTTGACACTAAACATAGAATTCTGCTTCTCGGAATCATAACATTTTTATATGTAAACTGGTGTTTTGCAAACTTTAATGTGCATACAAATTACCTGGAGGGCTTGTTAAAAGAGGTTCCTGGATCCCAGCCCTAAGATTTCTAATCTAGAAAGTCTGGGATGGGGCCTGAGAATTTGCATTTCGAACAAGCTCCCAGGTGATTCTGATAGTCCACAGGCTGCAGTTTGAGGTATACTGGTGTAAAAAACACTAATGATAATAGCTCCTTTAACCATCTCAAAGGGATATTAATATCTAATTTAAAAATTAGATGAAATGACATGGTTTAAAAGGCTACTATGTGGTAGTAAAATATCACATAACTCTGATACTGTTAGTATTACCAACATGATATAAATGCCTTTCTTTTTTGGTTATCTAAGTTGTTTTCAGTTTCCTTAATTAATTTTCTTAACCCATTTTCTTATTTAAGCCCATGGGATTTATTTATAAGTCAATATATGTTTTAACAGTTTTTATGACAAATATTAATCTTGCTAAGAAATTAATCCTTTAAAGACAGTAGCAAGATACAAAAGTCAGAAATGTCCTCTTCTCATTTTACAACTGGAAGGATAAAAGGTAGAACCATCCTACCCTAAAAGATTGGACAACCAATGACTATATAGCAAACTGCCAATTAAATAAAAAGAAGTCCAAAGAGGGGCAATGGGATAAAAAAAAATGAGTAAAAACCAGGAAAATAAATTTCTAAACATGTCTAAGGTTGGAGTTGGCTAATGGGATGGGACGGTAGCACTCCAACCTGAAAAACGTCAGCAGTAGCGTGTCACCACCAACAGCCCTGGGGTTGTAAAATAAACGTCTGATGCAGTCCTTCACCCAGGCACAAGCAAGGCTGATGCTACCTACCATGCCACAAATGGGCCAGCTTAGTTATCTTTGGAGAAACCTCCTATCTTCCTCTGCTCTTATGAATAAACTACTTTTTCTTGAGGAAAAAAAAAATATTTCTTATAAGATGTACATGAACAACTTGGGTTTCCCAGTAATTAGTTACAGATTTTTTTTTCATTGCTTAGACACAACTTTTTAAGAGCACAGAAAAATGGCTCTAAGAGACATATTGTTGATGATATAAATGGACTGTGTCACCATAATCACAAAATATTTTTCTAATGAGTTCCCTAATAGATGCTCACTGGCTAAACACAGTATTATATCATTCTCTAAATCTTGGACCAGGCACTAATTCACCAAGTTTACCTGTGAAATACCCAAAACTGTTTTTAGTGACTTTGAAGAGTAGTTCGAAATTATAAGAAAAATTAATTTTAATCCTTATGTTCTATGAAAGGTCAAAGCATTTGAAATGACCATATTAGAAACTTTAATGAAATATAAATTTCTGGCAATTGTGCTATTTTAAATCTAGTGCCTCAAATAAAATTGGGGCAGGTTGAAGTTAGTCATTTTTGCCTCTTATAGACACACATTCATTCTCCAGTATAATTAATTACCAGACTTTGTCGTGAACTTTATTGCATCATTAACAATGTTTTTCAAAAATATTTAACAACAAATTTCTATGACATCAAACTTCCAGAATTCAACATTTATATTTCAGCACTAGAGACCCTTGGTTCCTTTCTCCCATCCCAGATTAATGTAATCCATAGTTCATCTGATTATATGAAATAGCCTAAAAGGTGAGTGAGTGGACCCAGAGTGGATCTGTTAGAGAAGAAGAATACCTCACATTAAACGAGCTACTAAGTACACCAGTGCCTACCGAAACTCAAACAAATAGAGGAAAAATGGCCTTGTTAAGCAGCACGGCTGATGCCCAAGCCAGACCTACAATGACATGAGCAAGGTCTTGGAAAGAAGGAGCCCAATGTTTTGGCCACTGAGGGAAAGGCTTCTTTCTTTTATACTAAATCAGACCCCTAGTTCACAGGGATGTCACAGAGGGAAGGCACAGGCTACGTGAGCGTGCAGTTCCATTCTGCCTCCTTTTCACAGCCACTCAAAGATCCTTCCACAAAGCAGAGCCTAAGACCAAGCAATTACATCCACCTGCTACAATGCAAAGCTCTTCGATAATCAGGCTACTTACCTTTTCCAAAACAAAGAGAGACAGAGTAGGATCAAGGAAGCCAAAACACGAGCTGAGCGAGTTGATGATGAAAACTAAAAGGCCAACCTTGGGTAAAGTGATCAGTTTCCAAAATGAGTGTTGACCTGGATCAGACTCTTTGGAGTAAAGACGAAAAAAAAAAAAAATAAATCATAGCAGTTAAAATTTCTTAATTTATCCTTTAACTAATTTTGAAAAGTAGAACTGGTAAAGTCATCTTTATCTGGTTATCAAAAAATAACTGTACCTCTAAGTTTGCCTAAAATTATCATCTACATCTGCATATAACTTATTCAAACCTAGAGGCCACATTCGATTTTATCAAAAATAATTTTCCAAATTTATGAAGAGTCAACTGGAATCAGAGTGTGAGGGGTAGCAAGGGTCTTAGGTTACAGGTTATAACCTAGAAGTAAGGCCTTCGTCAGATGGGAAAGAGAATATGGCAAGTTTGATTTGGTGCATGGGAGAAGCATCGACAAAGCTTTACCCAGAAGCAAAGTGCGTGTGCACTTAGGAGGAACCTGCATTACTAAAAAAAAAAAAAAAAAAAAAAGACAGAATTTTCTCCCTGCTATCAAAGTAAACACTGGATTGAAAGAGGGGCTATTGAATCCTACATAAATTACATTTAGCGTTCAAGGTCAGTGGAGTGCCAACCTTACTTCCCACTTCTTCACTGTTCTGAACAGCAGGCACGGTTATTTCCAAGCCTCCAGTCATACTAAATGAGTCCTTTCTTTTTTCCCTGCTAATTTTTCCAATTCTCTTCACTCTATAAGTCTGGCTCCATCCCTAATTCTTCCATAAATTTTACCTTTCTCTGGTTTCCTACTGCACTGCTAGTCTATACTACATGATTTAACACCAAAATTATATTTTGCTTTGTATTGTTTACTAGTGTTTGGTGGCTTTCCTATCTTCCAATTAATATACTGAACAAAATCTTTGCTGAGCCAGGAGTCATGCAATATACAAGACAGACCCAGCTCCTGTCCTTGCAGAGAAGTTCCAATAAGGGGGGGAGAGAGCTAGGATGGGACTAGGAGGGCACTATGGGAGCACAGGAGAGGGCTACCTGAACACAGGGAGGGCAGTGTAGGAAAGGCTTTCTAAAACAGCGATGTATATAAAGCTGGTGCCTAAAGAATGAGCTTGCAGTGAGCAAGCAAAGAAGGGGCAAAGAATAATGTAGGCATATTATTGAAAGACTCAGAAGTGAGAGGAAACTGTTCTGTTTGAGAAAATGAAAGAAGAGAAGCGAAGTTGGAAGATTGAGATTGGGTAAGGGACATCAACATAGTAGGGAGAGATCATACTGCAGAAGGATGTTTTAATAAGCAGGACCTTGTAAAATATGCTAAGAAGCCCGAGAATCACTAGGGATTTCAAGCAGGGAATGAGAATCAGATGTGTGGTTTAGAAAGTTCTCTCTCTGACCCTGTGGAGGATGGAGGCAGGTTACACGTCAGGAAGTTGCTAGAGTGACCCTGGCCAGAGATGATATGGGGTTTGGACATGGAAGCTCTTTGACAGCCAGAATCAGCCTTCATATATCCTCACGTCTCCCACAGCACCCAGCACAGTTCATTATTCTACAAATATTAATACTTGTTGGATAATGGCCAAGTATGGAGCCAAGTACAAAAAACATCACGAAGTATGGTTCAACTATTTTACGTGCTAAACTTAGACTTTTTCAGGATACAGGAGGTAAAGTTAAACCTAAATAAAATTTCTTAATTATCAGCCAAGTGTTCAACAGTGAACCGAATATGAGCACAGCCCCCATGCGCAGTTTGGAGTTTGACTTACAAAGAGGACAAGCACCACCGTGTGGCTCGGTGAGGTATTGCCAGCAGGGAGACAACTGGGTGTGAATTTGTATACTAAGGATGTTAGTCACCTTTAAAAGAGAAATTACAAAAGATTCCAACTTTCATTGATTACATTATTGTGCATATAAGACAAACTATTTACGGTATAAGACAAACTATTATAGTATAAATTGTCCCCTAAAATGCAGGGTGGGAAAAGGGGTTATCATAATAAGAATACACAAAAAAATTCATGAAAATGAACACATAATTAATATAATTAAGCAGTGGAAGAAGACCAAGTAATGAAAACTTGGGGTGGTACCTGCTTCAAGGGACGCATAGCAGAATTACCTGGGGAGCTTTTCAAAGCTACCTGGTACTCTCTTTGCTTCCTCCAAATTCTGATACATAGTCGGCCCTCCGTATCCATGGGTTTGGCATCCATGGATTCAACCAACCATGG